GAAGCGGTTGAATAATATTGAGACTGGATTAGTCATTTTAAATTGCATTTTTAGTTCACCTTGAGGAAACCACTTGAAGCATTCATTGTGTTGAGCTATTTCATTTTTTTTGTTTGATTTTTTCATTGTAAACAGTTGAAAGTTTACATTTTGACAATAACAGGTGCTGCCTTTAGAAAATGTTTAGGCAATCCATATTTTCACATTGAGATGCAAAACAGTGTCAATATGTGGCTGTGTCCACATTTAAATGAGGAAACATCAAACATATCAGGTCCTACTCAACAGAACAAGGATAAGCGTCTAACAATGAGAAGCTGGTTTATAGATTCACAAATGATTCCTGGTTTTTCAATGAGGTCTAACATTCACTTTATTTTCGAGGTTATAGAGCAGTTCAACCTTTTAACGTATTATAGGAGAAGACCATATATGTTCATTTCTATTCAGATCTTCGGTTACCACCTTTATTTCTAATATTCTAAGAGCTCACCTCGGTCTTCCGCATTTATATCATTGTAACTTTTGTAATATTTTGTTGGATGATGTATTCTTTTGTGCCTATGACAGCAAGTTTAATTATATGCACTCATATTTTTTAATTACGGCTTCATTTAATAATGATACACCATTTACAGCAATGGAGTTCTGTAGATTGGACAGATTCAGTTTATTACAAACGACGGACACATTTTCCGATAGATTCAGAAGCCGTATTTAATTGTAAATCTTAAACCATATCTGCTTTAGTTATTCTGTTGTTTAACATCATTAGAGGATATAGATAAGGATGGTCGGTACTTATTATACGTATCCTTTTGGCATCTAGTTTTAAACATATTGAAAGTTATAGGATAAACATCTGACCCCATCAAGGGTCATAGTTAATACAATAGCAACAGTTCACATTCGATACGGACTCATTAAGTTGAACACATCTGCTATCTTACATAGAGGACATTGAAGAGTTAATGATTCCGTTCTGGTGAGCATATGATTTGGGCATTTGTATAACGTCATCTACCCAATCAAATGCCGGCAAACTGGGCGCCAATTATAACGGTTATCCTAGCGATTTATGATTGGCTTAAGAGGAGTGAATGCTAGGAATCATGAGATATATAAATTAGACTGGAGGGAGTTATTTCAATTCTGGCCCCTGACGAAGGTGCATGTCTTAAGCACCGAAACGCGCGTCGGGTTTTTCCGCTATTCTTTTCTTTCTCACTGTCACACTGGGCACTTTCACTTTACTATGTGCAGGCAACCAACGCTCTAAGTATGGTTCTGCACATTAGCATTTTAATATTTTTCTAACCTCCCTTGCAGTCTTTATTCTTCTAATTTCGTTTATATTCTGTCAAGGAGATACACTATTGCAGATTATAGTCAAGTGATCACTATTAGTTATCTCCCCACAGGACCCTATTATATTAGTACAAGAGATACATTCTGTAATAGAGACAGCTTGGATACTATTGGTATACATTAGGGATTGGATACAATATTGTTAGCTATCCACTCTGTTCAGAGAGCATCATTATTTTCCATTGGTATTATTCAAGCTAAAATAGGGATTTACAGATGGATGACTCCTGTAGGTTTTTATAGGCAGACCTATTTAGAATCTAGACTCTATATCTATGACTGTGTCCACTATTTTGGGATTATTGTTACACAGACCGTGACCCATCAAGTTATATTAAAGTCATATAGTCTGTGGTTAATCACAGTCACAG